GAGAAAGTTAAAGCTTCATGCAAGTTTTCTGTCTGTTTTTTCTACCAGTAAAATTCTAAATTGCCTGTAACTGTGTTGAGAACACAGTTGACACTCAAGAAAAGTTGGTCAAATGTATAATCAGAGTTGTGCACACGCATGTGTGTACATATGTACGTACCCATGTAAACATGTGAATGTAACTAGATATAAACAGCCTGAAGTCCAGTGATACAACAGAGGAAGAAAGACCACTGAATCAAGTGCTAAATCATGAGTTGGGTGTAGTCTGACAGATTCTACTCTTGTTTTAGGCCAGAACTAGGTTTCCATCTTCATTTCCTCATGTTGCTTGGACTGAGATTCATGAATTGTAGGTGCTCAGTAAGTGCTGGTGGCACTGAACTGAACCTGTTTCTAGCCAGACCAAAATTCAGCACAGTCCCCCTTGCCCCTATCTGCTTCTTCCCTAGGCTGACCCTGGGGTGTTTAGAAGACCTTTACTTTTTGCAAAGGCGGAAGTGACATTGCGCAGCTTCCCAACTTGTAGAACTGTCCCTTCTCTGTGACTGGTTTAGAGTAGCCCAGTAGAGTAATATGGCTTTGCTGTGTAATTGCTCACACTGGTAAAGTTCACTTCTCATGCATAGAACATTATTTTGTCAACCCCAGGATTTCAAAATATGACCTTTTGCTCTTGAAATGCCTGGAATAGCTGCTGTGTGAGTTTTGATATGCAGTTGAGCTTCTTATCATTTTCTAAGTAATTAACTTAACTCAACAAATATTTCTTGAGAACTTGTTCAAAGGAGGCACTGAACTGGGCAAGTGGGATATTCATTAATGAGTGATGAAGCACCTGGGCCTCCTCAACAAGCTTAGAGGTTTTTGAAGTGTGTGTGTGTGTGTGTGTGTGTGTGCACGCACACCTTACTGGGTAGGCAAAAGAAGAACAGGATTCAGAAAAGTATTTCAGAAAACACAGAATAGGGCAAAATATGATCACTGACACATGAGAGGATTAACTTGGCAGTCTATGCAGGTAGCATAGGAGTCTGGCCATGTTTATAGATTTGCGGTGTGTGGAGGATGTCTTGCATTCTCTCTGAGAAGTGGTGCCTAGGAATAAATAGAATGATGAAAACGCAAGGAAGCAGAGCCATCTGGCATGCACAGAATGGCAGCTAGGACAAGAAAATGATCTTGGGACTCATAATTCCTACTGATAGGAAAACCCAATCAATGTATCTTCCGGGTGCTTCCAGAAAATGGGCCAGAGCACTACAGGCTGAGGTCTAGGGTTCGAACCTTCCATGGGCTAGATGTGTGACCTTGGATATGCCAACAACCTCAGTGGAGGAAGATCCTCAGTGGGAAGCAAGCAGATGGTGTATATTCAGTGTAAGTCTTTCGCCAGCCAGACGTTGTATTTCCTAAACTCATACCCTGCTTCCTCTGCTGGAGTTCCATATTTGGTCAGAGCCTAGTCTTGGCCTGTTGGTGCTATGTTTATCTAAAGCAAGGGATGAATAATCAGGGAAAGTGGAGGGTGTGAGTAAGGGAACATAGTGGAGGACAGAAGCAAAATGACCTGACCTTTGTTTTTAACTAAATTTCGGGACCCTTTACTCCCTTTTCTGCGAAAGGAGATAAAGAGAGATGTTGAGTGTGATCACTTTAGAGTGCTATTTATGCTGCTTTGAGTTAGGATTTATTAGTGTGAACCTCTGTTAAGCTATTTACATTTCAGTGGACTCAAAATTTGCACAAATGCCTTTGCTCTGTTGCCACAACAACTTGGTAAATAATTTTTACTTTCCTTTAATATCTATACCTACTAGAAAGTTGCAAAGTGTAGCATAATCTTTTTTGTTTGCTAAATTAAGCTTTTTTCCCCTTTTACCTTACCAAATCATTTTAAGATTTGTCTTAGGTACTTTTCTCATTGCTGAGACAAAATACCAGACACCCAAATTTAAAGGAGGGAAGATTTATTTAGCTCACAGTTTGTAGAACTTTCAGTCCATAATCAGCTGGTTCCAAGGGAGGGTACCATGGCAGACAGGCTTCGCAAAGGAGAAACAGATACTGGTCATGGCAGGCAGAAGTTAACAAAGCAACAAAATGGTCATCACAGTTTTTTCTATCCCTTACATCTTATCTGGAGAGGGCAGCACTCACACCATTAACCCTAGTACCCTTAATCCTAGCCTTACACCATGAATCAATCCAGTGTCACATACTCTAGATCCAGCCACCTCTGAAAAAGTCCCACTTATGACTGCTTGAGACTTTGGGGGACATCGAAACATAAGCCATAACAACACCCTATGCCATATGTTATAATACAATGCCTCATAGGAAGTGCTGCCATTAAAAAGAGCAATATTTGTTTTTCACAGACACTTATTACCAGAGGGATGTAATCCAAAGGAAGTAATTATTCATTATTCTATTAAGATCCTTCTAATTTTGTCTCCTGGAAGTTCTGGGAGTTTCCCCATTGCTGCATGGCTGATTTGTATGTGCTTAACATTCCTGCAGGAAATAGTAAGGCCAGGTGCTTACTTCCCAGTACCTAGTGTGGAACCTTCTCTTCATTCCATCATAGTATTAAAGGAGAATTTTAGAGTCAGGAGATGCCTTAGAAATATGAATCAGTCTTTTCCAAAGAACTGAGACTCTCAATTCTAGTGTTGTAGGATCTATCTATCTATCTATCTATCCTGTATATCTATATCTATCTATCTATCTACCTATCTATCTATACATCTATTAAACATGTCTCCGGTATAGGGACAAGTTGGCAGTTTATCACTGACTTTTGGCATCTTCCACCAAATACAACTTCAGTGTGTCACAGGAGAGACAGACAGGTTGAGGCATCAAAGCCCCAAGGACCATAAATAATTAACAATTAAAAAGGGTAGCTCCTCTAGAATAACTATAGGGCCTGAGATAAAAGTATTTGGGTAAGAGGTGGGGCTGGAAGAGGAGATCAGTAGTGATAGAGGGTAGATGACAAATTTAGAACTGTTCTTTCCTAAGAGATTGCCTTTTCCAATCCACATCTCATCTGAGGAATATAACCTTTCACCCTACAACCAGCAGGTATTACTAGTCAAGGGAATGAAAAATAAATTCACTCACAAAAATTAAGTTCACCTCAAGAGCACAAGAATATGAAAGCCTGGCAAATCAGAACACAATGCAGACGTAATGGAAAAGACAAATAAGAATGGAAGTGACAAGAGCGGATCATGCCAATGTGATGAAGATGTGGGACTATTACTTCTTATAGCCCAAAGGAGGGCTACGCAGCAATATTCATAAGAAATTGAAGTAAATATCTCTTTGAGCAATTACTCCTCTCCAAAGTTAAGCTATTGTTACCATTTTGGAGATTAGAAATGTGTAGGACACATTGAGCTGGAGATAGAACAGAGCTAAGTCAAAGCACAAGGGCATGGATAGTCATGAAGATTATTTACCCGAATGCTCCAGTGTCTATAGGAAAAGAGGCAAAGAGGGCAACTAAGTCAAGCCTGAGTTGGAACCCACCCATTCTCACTTTCCAAATATGTGCCTAACCTAAAGAGGGCTGCAAACCCAACTCTGAACATTTACTGGCTGTTCAGAGAGGGACAGAATTCCTCAGACCCTTCACGCCTGGGTTCTTATGATCTGTGCTTGAAGAGCATCACTGAACATATAGAATAAAAAGCTCTGAATAAATCTCTCATGTAAGTCACATATTAATGGATTGGAAGACTTACTATTAAAATGGCTGCTTTAGTCACTTTCTCATCACTGTGACATCATGCTCAACACTCACCACTTAAAGGAGGAGAGTTTATTTTGGAGCCACATAAGGGCACACGACTAGGGCCAGTGGAGCTTCAGAGAGGGCACACCTGACCCCTCCCCAGCTGCTCTGTGAGCTGTGTGCCCCATTTATATATTCTTCTCTTTAGGTTCACTTTTGCATCTGTTTTTATTTTAATTTTTTTCACTTTTTCATCTTAATGAGGAGTTGAGTGCAGGTGCTCAGAGGCCATACAGGATGCCACATGTGAACGCCTGGCTTGGAGCTGAGCCTGCCACACCACTCTGGCTACACTGAGTTCCTCTGTTCATTTATTTATTCTCCTAATAAAACCATAAATCGTGTGTGGTGCGTGCTGAAGGGGGATGGGCAGGAAGAAGCACCTGGGCTGCAACATTTATTAGACACGAAATCAGGAGAGGTTTATTTTGGCATGTGCTTCTAGTCCACAGTTGATTGGCTCCAAGGCGAAACAGCTGGGTACAGTGGAGGAAAAACTGCTCATGTCTTGGTGGCCAGGAAGCAGAGAGAAAAAGGAGGAGCCTGGAAGGGAAGGGAGACATACTCTTCCAAGTCATGACCCTAGTGACCATCTCTTCCAACTAGACCCCATCTCCTAGCAGTGATATCACCCCATCATTCAACTTCTTCCAGAAGCCCCAACTATGAGGGCATGAGGCTCTTGGTGACATCAAGATATAAATCACGACAGTGGCATTGCTCCACAAATTCATCTGTATGTTCAATGCAATTTCTAGCAAAATCTAGTTACTTGCTTTTTTTCTAAAAGCTGACAAGGTGAAATTCATATGGATATCCACAGGACTCAGAATAGTCAAAACAGCTCTGAGAAAGAGCAAAATTGGAGGACTTATCCTCTCAACTTCAAAACTTTCAAGACAGGCAGGGGAATCAAAATTGTGTGGTACTAGCATACAGATGGACAGGTACATAATGGAATATAACTGAGAATCTGAAAAACACACTCAGACTTGTAAATTTGCTTTTGACAAAGGTGCTAACATATAGTAAAAGAAATGTCTTTCAACACATGGTGTAACATAACTGGATACCCACATATAGAAGAATGAAGTTGATAAATACTTGTATAAAGTATACTGTACTCTAATCTCACTGTTTTGATACCTACTCTGGGGTATGCCATAAAATGTTTCATGTTATGAATTCTTTTCAGACAAAAGCAAGAAACCTCCATTAACAAAATGAAGATTCAGCTAATCGTATTTATCCTAATCATTTGGACTGAAGCACTGGTGGATCAGAGCCCAGGTACCGGTATCTCCAAAACTTAATATTTTTTTATGTCTTATCAAATTTTATTTTCATAAGTAGAAATAATTTATTCACTAAAAATCTAAGTACATAGCATTTGACAAGAGGTGTAGCATACAATATCAAACAAATTTAATCTGTCAAAAATGACGTAAAACCACAGGCAAAAATCATAAGCTATATTTTACTAGAAAAATTTTAATTGTTCATTGACTTGCTTAAGTTTCAATGTTTTACATTTCTATGAGTAGAGTTACCCTGTTTTTAGGTTTGTCTGAAAGCCCTAAATGAGTGAAAGCAAAGGAACCCTATACATAAAACAAATTATAAGTCATTTTGTGGCTGAAACAGTGTTCTTTCTTTTACAAACATAAAATGTACAGATTAGGCCTTTCTAATCTGGAAGTTCCTAATGTGAAGTGACCCAAAGTCTGAAATGTTTTGAGTACTGCCATGATACCATAGAAAATACCACACTTAGACTTGAATTGCATCCCTAAGTTATGTTGCTATGCACATGGAAATGTTTATGAAAATCTCAAATCTGAAGCAATTCTGGTCCCAAGCATTTCAGCTAAGGTAAACTCAGTGTACGTGTGTGCATGTGCATGTGCCTGTGTGTGTACGTGTGCGTAGGATGAAAGCTAGATTTTTCTACTCCTTTGTTGTTACTGAAAGCATAGTCGAAAGAAGTATCTTTAACCCTGTATTTTACCACCATAGGTTTTCCAGATGAATATTTGAGTTGCTTTAAAAGAAAGTGCCCACTGAGGGGACAGTATATCACTAATTTGAGAGTGAAGGGAAATGAGCTGGCCAGTGTGGACACTGCTCATGATGCTGGTGCTTCCTATGTCCAGAGTCTTTTGCAGGCTAGGCACCACTTCCCCAGCTGCTGTCCATATTACCTGGCACAGCTATACCTCACTTCTGGGCTTTCCTGGAGCCTTTTTACCCAAGAGGTTCTGCCAGAAACCCTTAACTCCCTTCAGTTCCTGGGGATGTCCACAGCTGATGGTTGACTGATGGGAAAAACTGGTCCTCTTTCCTTAAAGAGGGATAACTCTGTGCTAATTTATGTGTCAGAGTCATGGGCAGATTAGAACTGAGCTGGGCTTCATCCAGTGACAAATCTCTCTTCGTTCCATCCTGTCTGATACTGCTTTTATTACACCACTTACCAGTGGAGCCCAGCCATCTGAAATCCCTGTCCCAGACTCTGTCTCTAAACTCTCAAACTTCCTAGAGATGCTTACTAGGAGGTTTGAGAGTTCTAGGAGTTCCATCTTCAAAAAGATGGAACTTTCTGGAATGGTATCATGTTATTTATTTTTTAGTACAGTGTCAGAGTTTGGGGCTGAGGAAGTAAAAAAAGATTTAAACGCTGTCATTTGCCTCTGGCATAGAGTTGAGAAAGAAAAAATTCTGTCGACTAATTTCATTAAAATCTTATTGTTTGATATTTTGGCAAAACCAAGGGCAGCTTCTTCCATTTGACCTCCAGAAGACACTTTCCTTGGAATTCTGATAGACTGTTTACATAAGGACAATCTTAAGAGAGCACTTTGGTCTAAAATATAAAGGCTGAACACTAATCTTATTTTTGTATTTTTATAGTGCCAGGCCCTGAGTACGCGGATGTGGTGTTTCTGGTGGACAGCTCGGATCACCTGGGAACTAAGTCCTTTCCGTTGGTGAAAACGTTCATCAACAAAGTAATCAGTGGTCTTCCCATAGAGGCCAGCAAGTACCGTGTGGCCCTGACCCAATATAGCGACACGCTCCACAACGAGTTCCACCTCAACACCTTCAGGAGCAGGAACCCCATGTTGAACCACCTCAAGAAGAACTTCAGGTTCATCGGCGGGCCCCTGAGGATAGGAAAGGCTCTCCAGGAGGTCCACAAGACCTATTTCTCTGCATCTACAAATGGAAGAGACAAGAAGCAGTTCCCCCCAGTTTTGGTGGTCCTGGCTTCAGCTGAGTCTGAGGACGACGTGGAAGAGGCCTCAAAGGCCCTGCGGAAAGATGGAGTGAAAATCATCTCGGTGGGGATGCAGGAGGCTTCTGAGGAAAACCTGAAGGCCATGGCCACGTCTCAGTTTCATTTCAACCTTCGGACAGCCAGAGACCTCAGCATGTTTTCCCAAAATATGACGCAGATCATCAAGGATGTGACCAAGCACAGGGAAGCAGTGAGTGCTGATGAACAAGGCAAGAAAGCCCTTGGGTGAAGACTCTCCCAGGCCTCATGGAGTCTGCATCTGTCCACCTTCCTCCGTTGTAGCTTGCATTTGGTTTTCATGATTACCTAGATTGAAGTACTGGGCTTTCTGCATGTCCCTCTCTTCTGTCTTTGCCTGTACTGTTTTCTCTCACAGGAACTCTCATGCATTTCTTTGTCTTTTTACAGTTTAATAACTTCTCCATCATTTTGGTCTCTATTCTGTACTCTTACCCTCTTGCAGTACTTTTAAATTTCATTTTGGGTCTTAGAGGTCCTTTTGCACAAGATAACATCCAAACAATCTGTGGCAAATTGTGAGCTCCAAAGGGCTTATGTGGCTCTTCCTCTATGACATCTCAGGTGGTTGTAGCTTCCAAGGCTTCTCTCTTAGGCTGCTTTACTCCCTCCTTGCAATTTTCCTTAGATGTTACACATTTTACAAATTTCTGGGGTCTTCCCTGCACCTTCACAGCTTCACACATTGATCTCTCAGAAGCACACTGCCTAGCTTCTCATGCCTTCTTCTGAAATCGGGGTGGAAGCATTTTAAATCTCAGAACTCTTGCAATTTCCATGCACCTAAAGCCACATGGATGATGCCAAGATGCTGGATCAGTAGCCAGGTTTTCTTTTTTCTTTGCTGTAGGGGTCAAGTGCCTGAATCACTGTCCACTCAGAACCTTATTCTGTCAAACTGTCTATGCTGCCCCATGGCTGGATGAGGCTTTGGGGAACATCCAGACACACCATAACAATGAGCAAGCAAAACAGAGTGGTGCCAGTGTGTTGTATGGATGAGATTATCCAGGCCTTCTATGGAGGAAGGCAGAAATAATCCCCAGCATCCTGGGCCTTCTTTGTAACATTATGCAGCCAGTGTTAGGATAACAACTGTCTTTTTTGTATTTGGGTAACTGGGTTGGTGATGGCTCTTCTATCTGCAAATATAACTTTAAAGGTGCCCCAAGAATTGGCACAAAACTGATGGTAGGGAAAAAAGATAGAAGATCACTCATGTGAGGGTTTTATGGGCCAAACCTTGAAAGATGTCCTCTTTTTACTTACATTTCACTGGTCAGATCTTAGTCATATAGCCACTCTGAACTGTAAGCACACTGGAATATCAGATCTCATTCCATACTCAGGAAAAGGAAATGAGATTTGGAGAACATCTGAAATGTTATATTCAGTTAGTGTTGCTCTTGAGATGTTGGGAGTCCATTTCCCTTTGCTCTTTCTATAACTCAACTCCCTTGCCTTGGGAAAAATATAGATGCTATATAAATTCTTAAGGGATATGGCAGAAACATCCTGTGATCTTTTACCTTGGAAACCTGGAAATTCCTCCAACTCTGTTGATGGCTGCTAAGCCTGAGCTCTGCAGATCATTGACACTCTACTACCTCCTTAGAGGGCTCTGCATATTGACTAGTCTTCTCCCACTCCTAACGTACAGCGAAAGATATTGCTTGGTAGACCCTTGCTTTTAGAGGTTAAGAGCAAGGGTTTTGAGGGTCAGGAAAGGCTTGTTCAAACCCTGGGTTTGAACAGGGTTGGCAGGTTGGGCCCTTGAGTAGGTTACTTAATCTCTGAGCCTGAGTTTATTTAATTTTAAAGTGATGATAATAGTGATTATCTTGTCATATGAGTGAGAGGGAATGTATGACATTTAGCATACAGTCTACTGTTACTGGTAGTAACAACTATTTGCAAATAAACACAAACTCGAACAGGTCATTCTGGGGATTTGTTTTAGTCAGCTGTGTGGGATTTAGAGTAGACTGGAAGATTTATGAGAATTATTTTTAATTCTATAAATATGTTTGACCTCCTACCATGTGCCAGGCACTAAGGAGTTAGAAATGAGTAAGTGATGCCTTTTGCTTTCTAAGGTTAGGGAAGATAATGGGTAGATTTGGCAAGACTGAGCTTATCTCTTGGCTACACTTTCCACAGTTGCTACTCCTTGTGTGCTTGGAGTAGGTTTTTGATGGGAACGTGGTACACTTTTCCTTAGATTTCAGATCTATATAACCAGCTGCTTACATGATACCACCTACTAGGTGCTCAATGGTATATAAAATGGAGCTCCTGGCTCCTCCTTGCCCTGTAACTTGGTTTTTCTTTCCTATCTTGCCTGTTTTAGAATAAGACAGTACCACTCTCCACTCAGTTGTTCAGGCCAAGAACCCAGGAATTTTTACCATTTCTTCATTTGTTTTCAGATTTGCATCCAATATATCAAGTTTTCTGTTCTACATCTAAATCATGTATTAAACCACACTGTAATTATCTTTCCTAGAGCTTTTGTATCCTTCCTGGATGAGGACAGTTGACTCTTAATTGTGATTGCTGAATTCATTATTTCTCTTCAGCCACTGGAGTAACACTTAAGAGATTTCACCCAGATCATGGCTCCTAGATACCTAGGCCTGTATCCCTCTGATCTCATCCACTATTGATTTTCTGCATTTATTGGCTCTATTCTCAATGGGCTTTAAGCTTCTTCCCACCTCTAGGAATTCTTTCTAACACAATTCCTCTTTCTTCAGAATTCGGCATGACTGAACGCTCTTCAGATTTAAACCCAAATGTTACCCTCTCAGAAAGGCTTTCCCTGACTTCTTCATGTCTCAGGTCCTAAGTCAGTGCCTCTCTGATCCCCTTCGGGCTTCCTGCACCACATCCCAAGCACAGTTACTCAGTCAAGTCTTCTGTTTTATTTGCTCTGTAGCACTTGTTGCTGTCTGAAATAATGTAATCTGTGTATCTCTCCTCTCCACACAATGTGAGCTTCCCGAGGTAACGGATGCCTCTGCCAGCTCACCTCTGCATCCCACACAGTGGTAGTGGCAACTGCAGTGGTGGGCATGGCAATGGTGATGAATGTGTGTGGTTGTGACAGAAGAGGTGGTCCCAAGGGTAATGAAGGTGGTGGTGATCATGTTGGTAAGGAACATAATTATGGAAATGGTTCAAACCCTGGTCACAGAGATAGCCTTAGAGGTGAGCATGGTCGGGAAAACTGGTAAGTAGCATTCTCCAGGTAGAGTAAATAGCATATTCAAATGCAAATGCAAATGCAAATGCTTTCTGTAAGTCTTACTCAGACTTTTGATATTTTGCTCACTAAAAGAAAACAATACGAACTACAATGTCATGACTATCACTATTTGCAATGCTTCTGACAATCAGTAAAAGACTTTTTTCACTCTGAGTCAGTGGTGTATCTTAATCCTCATACATTTTCTCTCTCTACAGTGCCTTTTACTGTATTCTGCCAGAAAGATTCACTTGCTGACCTCGTGTTTCTGGTGGATGTGTCACTTGGGACCAGACAAAATTTAACGAATCTGCAAGATTTTCTGGACAACATTACTGAATCCTTGGATGTGCAGGACAGCTGTACAAGGCTGGGACTGATGAGTTACAGTGATAGCACAGAGATTCTTTCTCTTCTGAACTCAAGCACAAACCAATCTATATTTCAGCAGCAAATCAGGAAGCTTTCTCTCGGAGCTGGGAAGTCAAATGCTGGGGCTGCCATTGAGCAGATGAGGAAAAACGTTTTCTCAGAAGCTAATGGCAGCAGAAGGGCACAGGGGGTCCCTCAGATTGCAGTTCTGGTTACCCACAGGCCCTCGGATGATGGGGTGCGTGAGGCTGCATTGAACCTTCGGCTGGAGGGTGTGACTGTTTTTGTTCTGAGCACCCACGGGGCTAACAGCACTCAGTTAGAAGAAATAGCATCTTACCCCGAAGGACAGAGAGTTTCAAAGCTGGACTCCTATAAAGACTTGGTTGTGTATAGTACCAGGTTCCTGAAAAAGATCAAGAATGAAGTATGGACACAAGTTTCTACTCATGCTGAACAAATGGAACTTGATAAAACTGGTATGTTTTTGAATTTTTAAAATTGTAATCATATGATTGCCTGCCATTAGGACGGGAATGAGGCCTGAAAATACTTGGATAAGGGGATTTTTAGGACTTGTGGGAATGTTCTAAGACTGGGTTTTTGTGATATTTGGATAACCTCATAAACACCACTGAACAATATACTTACAGTGATCAATTTTATAGCATGAAAACCATGTCCCAGTGAAACATAATACTTCAATAGTATGGGCGGACATAAAGAAGAAAAGCACTTATACTCCTATACTGAGATAAAACCAATGCATCTCTTGCCTTTTAATATATTTCCCTTCTCTTTCTACTACTTCTACTCGTACACATGTAGACCCACACAAAATGGCTTATCACACTGACTAGATCAGTACTAGATCACAGACGTTTCTGTGATGATGGCAATGTTTCCTGTCTGGGCCATCCAATAAGGCCTTCACCAGCCACATGCAGCTATGACTATTTGAAATTTGGCTAATGTGATAGAGGAACTGAATTTTATTTTATTTATGTATTCATTTTTATTTTAAAGAGGATAAAAACAAGGAAAATAAAAGAGAATAAAATCAATCAGAATTAACCCAGAATCAGTGATACAGGACTTCCAAACCTTATGAAATCAACAATAGTTACCAGAATGCCTTTGTTGTCTTCAAAATAGCTGCAGATACCATCTTCAGACATATTAAAAATCGAACAGAACAGAATAGAAGCAATAAAAACAAAACAATGAATGCACTAAAGGAATCAAAATAAGCCAATAGTAAATACAGAATGGCTTCCATAACATGTCTTGCTATCTTTCAAATAGCAGCTCATGCCATCAGACTTAACATAAACAAATCAAAAGAAAACAAAAATCCAACTAGCAAAACAATGATAATGATATGGTTTCTAGGCGGGGATCTCTTCCCAGTGAGGCCTGGTTCTCTCCCTCCACAGTCTGCGAATGGCACTGAGTCACAGAGAGAAGCTCGCATCTCCCCAAGCTGGCCCAGAAACCACATGGTGCTGGTTTCTGGATGGGGATAAGAACTAATTTTAAATATAATTGAAAATTAATTCATTTAAAAAGTCCCATGTATCTAATGTCTGTTGTGTTTGACAGTGCAATTATATACCATGGGGAAACTAATATTTATAATCACTTTTGGATATAACCAAAGAAGAAAACAAAAAAAGAATGATTTAAAACAGGATAAGATTGCTTTCACCCGTAGGTCCAGAGGTAGCTGACTGAGCTGGTGTGGTACTTGGGTCATGGGCCTTGTCTCTTTTCATCCCTTAAATCTTTTCCCTGCTGTTTCTGCCCTTCATTTCCAGGATCATAGTTCAGGATTACTGCATTGCACCCACATCTAGCAAGTAAAAAAGATGAAAGAGAAGGAGCTGGAGGCCTCCTCACTCTTTAGGAGGCTCTCAGAAGTTACACACATGACTTCTGTTCATGTTCTCTTAGTCAGTGTCACATGTGCCACATGTGGGAAATTGAGGTTGGGAAATGTAATCTTTTTGGGTGCAGCCAAGTACTGAGATAAAAACTGGGGACTCAGCATAGAAGGAAAACAAGGCAACAGATAAACCAGTATTACCTGCCTTGTCACCTTTCTATCATTCTTATGTCATGAATTTTGTCTATTTCCTTAAATATTCTTTTGCAGTATTTTTTAGGTTGGCTGTAATATTTAGTTGTATGGTTTAACCATGATCTGTGCAACACAAATTGTTGAGCACACAGATTATTGTCAACATGCTGCTCTTATAAGACTTATTTCTCTATCTCTCACCACAGTTGTGATTTCCTCACATTTTCATCTTGTTAATCGCTTTTCATCATCTTAGTGAAGGGCATCCTAGTTAAGATGCTTTGTACTTTTGTACTTTGTACTTTCTTTTTTGTCTTTTTCCTTTTTATCGGTACCAGGGATTGAACTCACGACTGCCTGCTTGCAAGGCAGGTGCTTACGCCGCTGAGCTAAATCCCCAGCCTCTGTACTTTGTACTTTTTACAGAACTTTTTGGGGTTGGGGTTTTGGGGACAGGATTTTGTTGCTGGTCTTGAACTCTTGGACTCACTATGTAGCCCAGGATGGCCTTGAACTCGTGGCTATTCTCCCGCCTCAGCCTCCCCTGTGCTGGGATTAGAGGTGTGCACCACCAGGCCCAGCTACTGAGCTCTGTTCAAAGGTACATGCCAAGAGAGGCTTGATGTGATTTTGAACTTATGTAATTCCAAGATAACTTCTGCATTCCCTTATTATCTCTTAATATAAAACACTTCCAAACAATTGAAACTGGGAATCTGGCAACTCTCACATGGAATGGAATTTTTTTTGGTACTAGGGATCGAACTCATGACCTTGCCCTTGCCAGGCAGGTGCTCATGCCACTGAGCTAAATCCTCGGCCCCTACAATGGAATTTTAAACTTCAAATAATATGAAGGGCTGGTTGTAAACTCAGACCTGCCAACGGAAGGCAGGTTTAAGAATGCATCTTAGGCCAGCCCTGGATGGCCAGGATGTAAGTATTATGAGGGAGCAGCAAGACATGAATCTCCTGTCATGTCCTGTGCAATATATAGGAGAGGCTGTCAGAGCAGCAGCCACCTTGGTTTTGTATTGACTATTAGAGCACAGGAGGGCTGTACAGGGAGGTCTTCCTCAGGGAGTCTGCAATAATATGGCAGAAAACTACTATGGTCATGAAAATTCCAAGTGGGAAGGCACGGAACCAAGGCTAGGGCAGAGGCCGTCCTCATCTTTCCTAAGGCCTCACTAGGTAGCTTCTTATTAATCCGGTTGCTCTGCAGAGTTGATACCTGACTTAGGTTGGGCCCCTCCAAAGCAGACACCAGGCATGGCTTCATATGGATTTGTTCTAAGAGAGAGTTTTCCCAGGCAGGACCAGAGGCTGATAGGGAAATTAGAAAATCAGACCAAGAAGCAAAGGATGACAAGAAAAGTGCTGGGTTCCCTCCCACGGTGCCACTATAGAGACTCTTCTTAAAATTTCAAGACAGGATCTTGCTAAGTTGCTTAGGTTGAGATTGAACTTGGAATCCTGCCTCAAACTCTCAGGCATGTGCCACCATACCTGGCTATCAGATATATTTGCTTGAAAATCAAATGTATGACTCTATAGCTTTCTCTTTCTCTCTCATTTGTATAGGTGAGATCTTAAGCCAAGATCTCAGTCCAAGCAAAATTTTATAATAGTGAAAATGTTCTTTATCTATTGTCTAGTATGGTACCAACCACGTGGAACTATTAAGCACTTGAAATGTGTAGATGATTTTATTTAATTTTAAGCAGCTTAACTGGACATTATCACAGCAGTGCATGACTAGTGACTAGTAGTTAGACAGCACAGGTCTAGGGAGGACGGGGTAGGTTGGATTGTCATTGTTACCTGCTGTGACTAACATTTTCTCTGTCACTGCTGACAATCACTGCTTTTCTTCTGGTGCAAATTTACTACTTCTTGATTAGATTGAAACTTAATTCATTCAGCTTACTGTCAAACTTTGCAGGCTTTAGATCCACCCTGTCTTTTGCAGATGACTGCTTATCTTTACCCTAATACTTTCTGTATTGACTTCATAATTTAAGTCTTACAGTAAAATATTTTTAGTTTCTGATTTTATAAGGAACAATTGTTCAAAGCCTACACTGCAGTTGATAGACACAAATTGCTCAAAAGCTGCCACAAAATAATTCTTTTTTTAAAAATTTGAGTCAGGGTCTTACTATGTAGTTTAAATTGGCCTTGAACTCATTATATAGTCCAAGTGGCTTCAAATTTGCTGTAATCGCCCAGCCTCAGCCTCCATGAGGTTGGAATTATAGGCATGCACTACCACACCCGGCCTCAAAAGAAAATAATTCTGAAATGACTAAATTGTCTTGTGTTTTAAAGATCAGTTCATCTTCTTAACCAGATAATGACATAAATAACTGAAGTTTTGAAGATATACTTTCTCTTACCCAGTTTCAGTGAATGACTGCATAGCAAACAAGTAGACTATAGAGAGAATGTAAGTATTTTTCTTAAAGACTAAGCCCTGTAATGGGGTGCGGGTGCCAGGCCTACTGGGCTGAAGCAAAGAACTAGGCAAAGTCTCTGTTCTCATGGAGCTGGCACTGTGTTCTAGGAAACAGGCTGGGATCATGAACAAATGAATAAGATCATTCCCCAAAATACTATGAAGAAAACCCACGAAGTAATGGGATAGACAGTGAATGGTGTGTTTCATCTAGAGACGTAAAATCTTACCCAGGAACTGACTCTTGACTTGACATATCTGTGGTGGGAAAGGATGAGCCATGGGAGTATCTGGGGGTAAGAATATTCCAAGAAGAAAAGAGGACAAGTGCTAAGGTCCTGGGGTGTATCCAAAGGACAAATAGTAGCCCAAGATGGTTAAAGCAGGGTGAGTGAAATGAAAAATTGCTGGAAAGAGGGTGAGAGAGAAAGGCAGGTGTTAAGGCCAATTTTTTATTTTTAAATTTCAATATAATGACAAATTATTGAAGGAGAAGAGTAACATGATTTTAACTTTAGATATATTTAGTTGCTTTGAGAGGAAGAGTTTATCAGAGGGTGTGTAAGGTCATCAATCTCATGCTACTTCTCAACAAATGATAAAGCAAAGCTGTCTGAGAAGGCAGGTTTCAATACAAGAAAAAACTATTTAATGTTGAGCCTGAAGAACTGGAAATCTAATCTTTGTATTTTAAATAACTGGCTGTTTGATTGTTTTTTCCAAAACAAAAGAAGCAGAGATTAACAGTGGTTAATATATTGTGTATTGTTATCTTGAAATAGTTGCCCAGACTATGAAATATAGGCAAGAAAAATTGATCAAACAATAAAAGCACAAACCTTTCTTTTTCATGAACTAACAGATACTAGTAGGATAGTTATATATATGATAGATGTGAGTCTGCCTTCTTTGTTTTCTCCTTTCCCCCACCCAGTTGTTCT